TAAAAATAAAAAGTCATTAATCAAATCAGATGTAGCCTTTTTCTTATCCATTCATATGGACATGCAGCCAAAAACTTCCCAACACTAGTGATCTTGTTCCTGGCTCCCTTATGCAATAAATAATTGCAATTGATAAACAAGTAAAAGGTTTCTATGGTGAATAATATTTTTGACATCTGGGGCTTTCAATACATAAACTGATGGGTTAAGAAGCAAGAAAAACCTCTGCTGGTTACATAAATGCAGGCAAGGGCTATAAGGAGTTTCCTTCTCTGTCAGGAGAAGACTCACTCAAGATTGTTAAAGTCTATACTGTAGTTTTCAACACCAGCACACTTAAATGCAGTGTTAGCCTCACTGGTTTGGCATAGACATGAGACAGAGAGATGGCAAGTCATTCATTTCTATTAGTGAAGGATTTAATACATCATTAGAAAATGGACTGACACGGCTAGCGCTCAACTACAAAACCGAGCCTCCACTGTGCACAAACTCTGAGACTGAGTGATGAAAACTATCACTTTTTCACTATAAATACAAAACAAAACCAAATTTTGTACTATGGCATCAATGAAGCGTCTTTTAGGAGAAACTCCTGTGGCATCCTTACTGTGCGAAACAGAAAAAATCTAATAACCAACATCAGACCCATAAATATGCTCATGCAAGAGAAATTTAAGTAACAAATGTAAATAAATAAACATCCCTTTTTCTCCACAGATTTCATTCTCCCACATTTCATGCGCGGCGGTGGCTAATTATAGCCTTAAGTCAGGCGCTTTGATGCATTTTTTCTCTGCAGGAATTCCTGGATTTTCTTTTCCTGAGAGCGCTTTTCTGCCCGTCCTGAGGTAAACTGGCTGATGGCACACAGCAGGCTCTAATCACTCTGAGCGTGTCGTACATTCATATGTGTGTGTGTGTGTGTTTATCTGTGTGTGTGTGAGAGAGAGAAAGCAGAGAGATACTTGACCACCACGCTGCCCTTGTCAAGAAAATGGCACAAGAACTGATGCTTCGACTGTCTTCGTTTTCATGCTCGTTTCTAGACTTTGAAGTATTAAAAATGCAACCACAACCCAAAAGCTGGCTCATGCAGAAAGCGTGCATCTCCAGAGAGGGAAAAAAAAAACAATCCTGGTTGAAGTTGTGGACTCAGAGCAGTGTGGCCCTGCATGTCTTAAGCTGGCAGGCCATTTGTGTGTGTATAGCTAGAGCCCAAGATCAACAGTAAAGAAAGGAAAATCGTCAGTGGCTGCCGGCAGACTGCTGCTGTTGGGCCCTTCCCATGATGCTGCTGCTGTCACACTCAAATGCACAGAGCTGTAAACTTGTCTACCCTATATGAAATGCTTGGGTGGCAAAGGGGATAGGTGAGGAGGGGGAGGTCGACATGTATACCCTGAGTAGTGGCATTTCCTCTTGGCTTCCTTCCCCATTTGTCTACAAGCCCCCGCCTTGTACAGGAATCTATAAGCAGCCGCATAAACAGTGATCTACATAAGTAAAGTTTTTTTAATAAAACTTTCCCCGACATGTGTAATTGGTACAAACATGAGCTGTATACATTTTTTACTAAAAGTTAATTTAAGTTTAGTTTCAATTATTTTGTCTAAGTACATGACAAACCTTTTGTTCAATCAATGTGTCAAAACATAATAATTTTTTCAACTGGTCTGGGCCAGAAGTGTAAAAGCTCTGCTCACTTTCTGTAGACATTTTGTTTTATTGATCTTTATTTATAATGGTGTTTTTGGTTGAGGTCTAACGGATCTGTGCAAGCGCACAGTTCCACTGTGAATAAGTTAGTACTGCAAAAGTTGTCTTTATCTACGTACGACTATTGGGGGAATTTAGTGACAGATGACTCTGACTTTTTCCTCAGGATTTTGGGCTAAAGCAAAAGAACAAGTACAGCTTGAGAGTTATGTTCACCTTGAAGGCATCCTCACCAAGCTCACCTCACATTTAAGGAAAATAAATGGGTGTCATGTAACATCAGACCAGCCTTGTAAATAGCTTTTACTGATGCTCACTGATGAAACCATGCATGAGCTTCCGTGTCTCAATGGACCACTGCTCATGTGTTTCCCATCAGGGAAGTCTGTGGTTACCTTCCTGATTTTGCCGGACTGGAAAAACATAGCTAATATGGTGTGATCTGGAAAAAGCTTTGATGCAGGGGCTTTACAAATAAACCTCTGACTGCCATATGGTTTGCGTTTCTTTCTTAATTTATTTCCTATAAATGTCTATTGAATATTGTGCAGAGCCAACATGTGTGTGTAACCAGACTTGGAAAACAGAAAGCTATGGGGAGCAGTTAGTGGCAAAGTGTGATTATTATGATTTGTCCATTTTTCTTTCCCTCTCTCCTTCGTACCATCTGATAGATGAGTTACAGAATCGTTCCAAAACGAGCCAAATGAAAAACAAGCCAAAAAATAAATAAAAACATTACCCATCTGAGCTTTGTAGTCACTCTCCTGGGTTTAGTATGAAGACAATCAGCATTTAATAGTCATTAAAGACTAATGACTTAATACCTGACATGCCAGTGACTCGGTCAATATGTTTTTCTCTGTGTAGTTAGAAAAGGAGGTAACCACTGACAGAGCAGTCAACAAACAGCTAGTGGCTAAAGAAAATGGTAGTAATCTTTTCCAAAGAAGCAGACTTTCCTACTGAGGCTTCCAACACAGTGAGGATTTCAGCTGTTTGCTCTGTGAGGCCTTACAGATACAGCAGTGAGACCAGCATTTGTCATCAGCAACTGCCTGTGTGGGTGTGAGCCTCATAAAGAAAACACATTTTTGCTCCTTTATCATGGTCTGGGTCAGTCCCCCCCCCCCCCCAAAAAAAAGCCAAAGGAACAAACATGTCAAACGTTTACTTCACAGTTACAGTCCATGGACACATTTTCCACTTTCCTGACCTGTTTACGCAGCAGTGTGTTAAATGTGTTGCAGATGTATAAGGAAAAATATTGTTAATGACTAATGTTTAGCTGTGGCTAAACAGTCTTTTTTACACTTACAGGTAAAACAAAACCAAGGGGAAGTACATTTGTTATTCAATTCAAAGAAAATGAAATCCCTTATTCTTCCCACAATGGGGAAATTCACAGTCTTTGTAACCCACACAGACTGCCACAGGAGGCACTGTTAAGTATGAGTACCATTGGGACGGAAAACCCAGGACTGTCGGAGGCAGGTGGGATAACCACTTCACCATGGAACCTCAAATTATTAAAATGACAGTATTGTATTAAAGGCAGCCCATTATTATGCCTTTAAATGACAGTTCAGTCTTTACTATCAAATGAAAGGCTGTTTGTCTTATGGTAATTTACATTTATAATCTGAGCCCAATTGACGTTACTCAGGATCTTCATTAGATCACTCAGTCTGTTCTAGAGCCGACCAAGACTAACTATTTAAATAAGCGCCAAAAAAATCCATAGATTCAAAAAAATGCATCCAAAGTCATAACTTGAACCAACTTCAGAGAAAATGAGAGACATTTTCAACGGATTCGAAGCCATGGCAGCTCCACATCGTGCTGCACGCTTTATAGCACGTAGTAAATGTGTGTCAGGTGTGCTTATCTGCATGCATTTAAGTCTGTGATAGTGGACTTGGCTATTTGCTTTCAGAGGACTGAGTGGAGGAAAGGTTATAATAACTTGATTGAAATGTAAATGTGGGGTATCAAACAGAAGTAGCATAGAGTGTGAGTGAGCAGAGTGTTGGTATGAATTACAATCTGTCTCACAATTTTTTTCTCATCGGACATTATGCTAATGAGGGGATAAGTGACTGGTTGTGTTCGAAAAAAGGATAGTATTAGAGAAAGGTTGACAGAATATGGCTTCGAATATCCAAATATTTTAGATAAAGACACGATGAATATGATGAAGTTATTATATATTTTTAAACATGAGTCTCTAACATGCAGAGAGAATGGGGAGCGATCACAACAATGAAAACTGATGTTTACTTGCACTTTAACTTTCTCATCTTCACGAGGTTTTATTTATTTATTTAATTTTGTACGTTTTTTTTACTTTTCTGCCGTACACAGGAAGACAATGTAGTGCCTGCAAAATAAAGGGTGTTGTACTGTAGGGCTCTGTTAGTGGTCAGCTGCTACATTCAGGACCAATTCAAAATCGTTTATCAATGATTTATTGAGACAAACAAATAAAAATGTAAACTAATCAACACAGAATGAAATAGATGCCAATATAATCATGTCCAGCTGAGATCTGGGCGCTACAGTCCAGTGCTCGACTTTGTTCCTCTGCTCTTCCTCAATTTCATTAAATATGCATCAAATCAAAATTTTTTCTTCTAATTTCAAATCATACAGTGAGATGAATATTGACCCATATAAAACAACGATATCTCCATCGTTACAGTTTTATCTTTTTCCTTTACAGTTTAGAAATAGAGCGTCCTTGGCAGGTGGGAGGTGGACGGCTCTGGCCCACACCCAGCTATGTTCCCGGTCTGTAAACAATGGCAGTGCGGATTAGTTTGGAAACAATGTGTTTATTTAGAAAGTCCACTTCCTGCACGAACTCGGCCATTAATTTTATTTGGCAGCAGCTTCAGTTTTGAAAATCATTGTTTAGAGTCAGAGGGAAAATGCAAAACACAAGAAATGCTTTGCATCTGTGCTCAGTTCCTGTGAGATATGACAGCCGCATTAGTAGCATTCAGTGCTATTGGTGCTTTTTTTTTATCATCTGGAGAAATCTAAGTTCCAGAGAAAAAAAGAAACAAACAATGAGATGTTTTGTTGTGTATCCACTGGCATGGACTCGCGTGTACAGATGTAAGCTTTGTAAAAAAAAAAAAATCTTTTTTTTTGTTGCTTTGTTTAAACTGCCAAAAGGGGTTTACAGCATCAGATATTCAGCTGAGGGCTGCGGAGCCCAGGAGCGACACGACCAATAACTGCCCAAAGCCACATCCTGTCTGAAAGGAAAAGACTTGCAATTTCTCCTTAGGAGAGGCACTTGCTTTAATGTGATCTCAATTACCCATAAAGCAATCCTGCAGCGGCACTCACACTTTGAGGCTTTATTCAACATCAGTCACATCCTGCCGTACACAAAAGCAGCTTCATTCAGCTGATCCTAGATCTGCCATTGTGACAAAAAAACAAAACAAAAACAAAACAGGTCATCATGTTAAAGTGTGTAAAATAAATTGATTGTTTACTACGGAAAGAGGGGATTTTTTTTAGGGCATTTCAACGTGGAAAGGCATTTAATGTCAGGTTTACTAATATTAAGGATCCACCCATCATGTCAGCAGACCTTAGTAAACATTTATATCTGAAGGTGATCCTATTCATAGCTGAAATTAAAATAAATATGTAAGATTATACAGAAGATGGAATTCTATTTTTAGATGCCAATCATAGGGCTAAAGTAAAGAACATGTCATGAAATAGCAGGTTCTGCTGGTGTAAACACAGTACATGATAACGGGTGAATGCTACGAGCCAGCTTCATACTTGCTACTGTGGCACCAAGGAGAATAAACATACTGTAGTTGAACCAATGATGTCACAGTATGCAGTGTGGTGCAAACAGGAGGTTATATGTTCATTTCCATAACTGACAGAAACGCCAGGATATCAAGGATAAAAAGTTATTAAACTAAGCAGTGTAACCTTAGCCAATCCAGTCACAGGCTCAGAGGCCACAGTCTAACAGGTAAAGTCAGGGAAGGGTGGTTAAGCCCTAGTTAGTCATGTAAATCCCACCCTCTACAGCCACAGCGCTCCAGCAGATCCCTGTCAATTTCCTCGGGCTCTGCTTGGGTGGATTTAGATGAATACACTCCATCACTAGTGCTTAGCGTCCTGTGTTATACATTTGCTTTACTGTCGGTAGAGTTAGAAAAACTGCAGTTTTTTCCCCCTTTGTGTTCTATTGAGAAAGATTGGTTTTATTTATACGCCGACCGCTGTGGCTTCCTTTGTAAATTGACTCCGTTTTGTCAGCGGGCCAGGCATTAAGGATGTGAGCTGCCTGTTTTAACCACAGAGATAGGATAGCGCTCAGTATTTCTGTCAAGCTTTTATCAACAGCTGGGGTGAAACTAAACCAGTTCTCAGCAAGAGTACAGGGACCATTTCCTTGGTTGTCAGACGTCAACTTTAATTTCAAAGACCAGTGGTGTACCCGGACAAGGTGCAGGCTTCGCTTGACACAGACTGGCAGCGGGTGTCTGATAAGGACCCAGTACATGTTGCATTTACTACCAGGACATTATTGATCCACATGCTGCTGGTTCATTTCATGAAAGAAAACGTTAAATGGTACAGAAGCGGGCGATACAGTGCGTGCTGTGCTACGACGCTTTGTGCAGTAGCAAACAGGAAAACTGCTACAAGAGGATGAGGACAGAGGCGACGGCTCAGG